GGAAATAGAAAACACTATCCTGAGTGAGGTAAGCCAGACCCAAAAAGAGGAACATGGGATGTACTCACTCATATTTGGTTTCTAGCCATAAATAAATGACATTGAGCCTATAATTCGTGATCCTAGAGAAGCTAAATAAGAAGGTGAACCCAAAGAAAGACATATAGTCATCCTCCTGGAGATTAACTTTCATCGGGCGATGAAAGCAGACAGAGACAGATACCCAAATTGGAACACCAGACTGAAATCCCAAGGTCCAAATCAGGAGAAGGAGAGAGAGCACAAGCAAGGAACTCAGGACCGCGAGGGGGGCACCCACACACTGAGACAATGGGGATGTTCTATCGGGAACTCACCAAGGCCAGCTGGCCTGGGTCTGAAAAAGCATGGGATACAACTGGACTCACTGAACATAGCGGACAATGAAGACTGCTGAGAAGTCAAGATCAATGACACTGGGTTTTGATCCTACTGCACGTACTGGCTTTGTAGGAGCCTAGGCAGTTTGGATGCTGACCTTACTAGACCTGGAAGGAGGTGGGAGGTCCTTGGACTTCCCACAAGGCAGGGAACAGGGACTGCTCTTCGGGCTGATGAGGGAGGGGGACATAATTGGGGGAGGGGGAGGGATATGGGAGATGGTGGAGGGGAGGAGGCAGAAATCTTTAATAAATAAATAAAAAGAAATTCTGCAAAAAAAATAAAGGAGTTACAACTTATTTACATTTAACAAATGTAAAAGTTTTGCAAAACCTTTCTTTAATATCCTGTTGCACCTAATAAATGAGCGATACTGTAAAAAAAAACACAGAATAAAGTAATAGAGTAAAAATAGGCCACGTAAAAATGGAAAATTCACAGAGAGTTTGGATTACGTATACTATTGCATTTTCTTTGAATTTTTTGACTGTAAAGGAGCTAGGTACAGAGAGACATTTCATTGTATGGGCTAAGATAATCCAGCATGTATATTATAAAGGTATCTTGACTTCAGAATTTGGATCTGAGGATATGATGCTTTGGAAAAGAGGTTCTTTTGTTTTCACAGAGGATGAGACCCTGTGGATTGCTCCTACACCAATATGGTATGGTAGACCATGCCCTCCTGAAAGATTGCTGTAAACACCCTCAAAAAATTACTTCACTCAACTGCTGACTGAGAGGAACCTAGCATATAGGATACACCATGAAAGACCTGAATAACAGCACCCCCATAGAGCATGAAGCAGTTTGGAGAGAAAAAACTGTGCCCATATTCCCAATAGTTGCAGAAAACAATACAGAAGATATTTTGAAAATCTAAGAACTCACTACCATATGATTCATCAATCTCACTTCACGAATGCCCACAATTAAAACTTGGGTCTCAATTTTTTTTTGCATACCCATACTCATAACAGCATCAGACACAAGATCCAAGAGGTAGAGAGAACCCCAAATTTCCATCAGTGGATAGATAAAGAAAATGTGGTAGGATCAAAATGGTTATTATTCAGCCTTTAAAATGAAGGAGCTCCTGTATCAGTTTTTTTAATTGCTTTTATTGAGTTATATATTTCTACCCACTCCTCTATCTCTCCCCTCCCCTTTTACCCACTATCATGATGCCACGCTCCCAATTTATTCAGGAGATCTTGTCATTTTCTACTTCCCATGTAGATTAGATCCCTGTATGTCACTCTTAGGGTCCTCTTT